AGGGCGGACATCTCAACCCTTGATCCTACCTCTTTTTTCTTTTTTTTTTTGAACCCGGCTCGACAACAGAGTATCAAAAGACGAGCCAGGCAGAATCAGGATTTGAGATCTCCGTCCATTTTTTGTCGCGTGGTCGTCCATCCCGGGCGTTGGTGCTGTTCCAGCCTGAACATGCAAATCACATTTACTTGGGCTGCAGTATCAGCTTGTATTTGAATCTGATTTGCGTGGTATGTTGACTTCACGGCCATGCAGTGATACTAGTTATCACCTTATCCTCATTTTTAGACTGGGACCTGTGTTTCAAAGAAAACACCCCGTAGGTTGGCGGCGCTGGTAATCCAGTTGATTGAGCCCAGGGGTTGAGCGATTCTGTGATTAGTTTGGGTGTGGAGCGTTACTTCTCGGAACTCTTATCGAGTAATACATAGTTCACTTGGGAGGAAGAGTCAGCAGCGCAGCGCTGCTGCCATGTTGAGTGGGCTGGGTCTTGGTACGGATGTTATGTACGTTACCTCGCTTGCCACACCTATTTCGCCGCAACTGGGAAGCTCCAGGCCGGATCCGCCTTTGAGAGGGGGGTCGGATTGACTCCAAACCCGACTAGGCTTGCTGCGCAAAGAACCGATTCTCCTAGCTGGAAAATGACAAACAAAAATGGTGACAAATGATCGCGAAACCATCGCGATCACTGAATCGTTGTGTGTCATCTTTTTTGAGCGGCCAAGACGATCCCGCTCTCTTTTCTGTCTCGAAATTTCGCTCAGATTGGTAGTTCTTCAATAACGCGGTGGGAGAACACGGAAAAGCCGGCGTACAGTGTGTTCACACTCCGCGACCAGTCATTTAGGGTAACTACTAAGGAGTTATAAGGGGGTTGTTCACGCAAACGGGAAAGTGTCTTTGTTAGTAATTTTTTTGTACTTTTTCTGCCTTCTCTTAGGGCTAAAATGAGAGTACGAGTAGTTTTGAGTTCAGTGTGCATTGCGACAGGCTTCACAATTACTCTGTAAATTCATTGCTTTTACAGAGCCTGACGTTCAAACAAATCCAACGCGCCATAACCAAGTGTGACTCGCAACCTCTTTATGACGGCTCGATTCTCGTGATGGTACTCGGTCAGCTGAAGGTTTGTTCTATTCATTTTTAAATAGACGGCGCACTGGAATCCTGCCAAAGTGACGGTTTTAGACAGACGACGACCCAATCAATCCATTTTCGCAAATATTTATTTTGCGACCAAACACTACCGGATCATTTTTCATTGGGAATGAAATCTTTCGTCTTGATCTTCATAACAACTAAGAAGGCTTATTCGTAGAATAGGTCCATTCCGGATGAACAACCGCCTTTCTGTCATTTTTTGCTCTTGATTGCTTATCTCCCGTGTCCCATGTTTTTTTTTGTATTTTTGTACCTCCCCTTCAGTTGTTTTTGCTGAAATTATTGCTTACATGTTTTCTTGTCATCTCGCTTGAGTTCTGCGGTTCCCTAATTTCGTGTACTTTCGTGTATGGCGAATCCAAGTTCCTTGGTTTCCATTATCACTATGCCGGTTTAGATAACGATTGATTAAGGCGTTTCTGAGTTGAAATATAAACTATTATTTGGAAAATATTAACCGCTTTCTGATGCATGGTATTAGGCCAACATGTTTTTTGACCTCTTTGTTTATGATTTGATGAGCCAGGGCCGTATTCGTGCTTTGCTGAGGAGGTTTGGCGATTTGTGAGATTACGCCAGAAGAAAAGTATAAGTGTTCATGGGATGACTCTGGAGATTGGATTCGGCGATATAGGGGACCTTCCCGGCGATTGCGCGCCAGAGGAGTGGATGGCACAGATCGCTAGCGACTGCGAAGATTCGGCGATTCAGCGGCTGGGGAGATTGAGCGATCCGACGCTTTGAGAGAATCGCAGTCTCCTAAAACGCCGAATCGCTGAGTCTGCCAAATAGCGGATCGCTCAATCTCCGCAGTCGCCGGATCGATACGTAATCTTTTCTCGTCGCGCAATCTCTCAAATCGCGAAATCTCTCCATTTGCAAAGTATGTCTGCAGCCTTTTAAACGCTCAGTCGCAGTACAGTCACCAGCTCACAGCACTCGCGCAACAAACATTTGCGCAGAACACAATTATTCCATAATATCACCGATGTGGAAAGCTGTGTGTTGGGCTGTGTGGTGGCTGGCAGACACCCGCAGCCGTGAGGCGTGTCATGTCGACCGACGATGACGAACTCCTGAACTTACCGGATTTTCTCTTGAGTGAGGAATTGCGTGAAGTGGACGCGGGTGTAGAAAGGTAATCAATGGATGAGAATATCTATCATAATATATGATGGAGAGAATTGGGAGAAAGCCACAAGTGAACTGAGGAATTAGGGAATCAGCATGGGTCGGAAAAGCTCAAGGTTGTGAGTTTTTTTTCACGTACAGGATTGCGTGAAGTATGGACTGTACGATATCGTGTATTGCTGGAGGTTGCTTTAGGAATATTATCACTAGTTGAATGTGAGCGAAGGTAATAGGTACCTTAATCTGTGGTGGGATGAAATTCATACGATACTCATAATATTGTAGTTTTGGAATATCAAGTGAGCCAATGTGAAGGCACATCGTAGGTAGCTCTGGCGCAGCTTGTTGATGAAGGGAAGCATGGCAGGGTATGAGGTTTCAGTTTCAAATTTGACCAGTCCGTTATGGGATTAGATCAGTCCTTAGGCGGGACCATGAGACTTGATTATGTGGGGGCTGTTTTGCCGTTAGGGTAAGTGAGTAGCAATGTGAGAGTGTAATGCGTTTTTGGGAATTCAATCGATTATGTATCGCCCCGGAGAACAGTTTCTTCAAAAGGGGTGGAGGAGATGTCTTGGGTCTAATCTCTGGTTTCGAGGGGACGACGCGGAGAGCATTGTTATCTGATTGATGGGGATTATGTGACAAGGCTCATGGATGCTAGCGGCTGGGAGCGAGGGCCCGCGCTAAGGAGACGGTGGACGTGACGTTGATACGGCGGTGTATCAGCTAATGTACTCGTAGACCGGCCGTAAGGCGGGGGGAAGGCTGTTTCCCATGATCGAAAGCCGAGATGGAGATTAGAATCCGCAGGCATATGGCGCAGATACATGGAGCAAAACGCGCAAGATAGTAGCGAGGTGGGCACCCGCGCCGGAACAGCATCTATGTACTTCTTTCTTGTAGCAGTTGCGACAGTTTTTAAGCAGAGAGTACAGTGTGCCGTGGCGGAGTCGCACAATACAGTGCACGATGATAAAAAGGAAGAACGTGGTATGGGTACGTCGTGGTACACATAGGGGAGTGGTTGGTGAGGGGAACCGCAGTCTGTCGGAATAAACTCTCGCGGTCGGAGAAAGCCAGTCTGTGTGGCGCCCATTTGCAGGGTGGGTTTTGACGCATTTTTGATCGATACACTATAGTCGGGTAAGGTGCTTAAAGGGGAGAGGAATTTCGGGAGCGGGTGAACTAATTGTTTTGTGCAAAAGGAACGGAAGTAGAAAGTGTGTCGCATCCCTCAAAGGGATTGATCACCGCAAAGACATTACTTTCGACTTTACCGTCCTTAACACATTGAACGCCGCGTGAATTGTCAGCAGTACACGCGCATACTCCCGTTCCGCGCGTTTGTGTATTGCCTACAATTCACATTTTGTGGATCAATTTCTTCCTAGCTAACCATGCGTTTGTTGAATGATAATCGTTGAATTGCGCTCAATGTGTTTTCTTTATTATACATCCTCTATGGCTTGAAGTGAGGTGTTCACTGAAACTGTTTCATTTACTTCGAAAATATCAGTCCATAGAACGGTAATTGCACTTCATATGATAATTTTTAATTATTTAAATATTGGTTTAATTTTCTGTTCCTCATATCGGCTGGTTTCTATTGAACTCAGGAGAATTCGTCAATCCCAAACAAAAAATAGAAATCCAACGGCGCGATTGCATCACGGACTAATTTGCTCTTCTAGAAAATCTGATCTCCTAGAATATGACAGCCAAGCGGTCCTTTATGAAAAAAAATCCTTTCGATTGAGTTGCTGTTCTTCCTGACTGTCGTTATAGTCGTCTTCGGAGTAGCCCAAGTCATCTCATTCCTCTTTATCACTGTATCGATATAAGTAGTCAAAACTTACATTCACCTCCTCCAGTTCGCTCTCTAGTTCCAAGTATGCAAATACCTAGACCGAGCTTTATCTTCTATTGAATAGGTTCACGTGAGAATCAAGCGCAAATGAAATCAGAATGAGCGTGCAAAGGGCATGCGGCACAAAGACTCCCGTTTCGCGCGTTTGTGTATTGCACGCAATTCACGCGCGCGGAGACGCAGGAAGTGTAAACAGGAGTCATTGCGAAAACGCCGGCGGCGTCCAATGTATTAATCGTCCTGGCGAGAAGCATGTTTGGCAGTATAGCTCAGTACTAAAAAATTGACCCAATTACAGGGGCGCGGTTTGATGAACGCGGTCGCGTTACTGATGCGGGAATGGATCTGAACGATCCTGCAGCGTTTGGTGAATACTGCAAGGACACAATCATTGTTACTGTTTTTGTACAGGTGTGCTTTCTTTCTGTTAGGTCTCTATTATTTGAAGGAAAACGAGGAAGAAATTTTCATTTCCTGTTTGATTGTCATTTTATTAATTCTTTCGTTCAGGTTCTTGCTCTTTATTCTTCTTTCGCATACTTGATCTTATTAGTAATACCTGCCGCTGCTGTATATAAGGTATTGCTGTAGGGTAGCTTGACAAAGCTCTTCGTTAGTAATCGCCTTGTTTTTCGAGATTTTTGTAAACTTTGACTTCTCTTAGGTTTTCTTCGGTGTGATTCTACCGTGGATCACAGCTCCATCAGGAGACAGTAACGAAGAGATGGATGACAAGAAGATGAGGAAACGTGAACGTCGAGAAAAAATTGTATACCGAAGATAAACCTCCGTCGCAGCGCGAATATTGATTTTTGTGATTTTTTATGCTTGTTTTCGGGAATTAGGTGATTCGTTGAATGTGTCAATACTGGCAAGACATTAGGTTTGTTGTTGTCTTTTGACGTTTAGTTCTAATTTATTATGAGAAAACAGTGGATCGTGTTGTGTTGCTCGTATAAATCTTCTAGAATTTGTAAGCAACCACTTTATGAAACATCGTGTGGGTTGAACCCCGCCTATTCGCAAAATTACAATGAGATTTCTGGCGCTAATGCAGTTGAAGGGAATCCGCTCTGCTAGTGACAGAGGCTGCTCGTATGCAAGATAGTGGATTCTCTTTTTTCTGAGGTTCAGCCTGAGAGAAGAGCAGACTATCG